TTACAATGTACTTTTGGGGGAGTGAACTCGTAAAGCTCATTATTCTTACTTAGGAGACATAGTGGATAAAAACATAAGGAAGCTACAGAAAGGTTTAAGTCAATTCACAGATGTCAGGGTTAGAACCAATTTTATTTTGCTTGTTTATTTTTCAGTGCTGAGGATCAACCACAGGGCCTCATGCAAGCTAGACAAGCACTCTACCAACTCCAGTCTTAAAACTAGTTCTTAAGAGACAAACACCTTTACAAAATACTCCTCAGTGGTGTTACTGCTAGAGAACACAAAGGAATAGCCCCTTAATTCCTACCTATCTCTACATGTCTGCAGGCACATTCATATTACCTGCCACTCCTTGATATCCACCCCCCAAATTATCTTTCTCCATTTTGGTCCCAATTTCTCCACACCATTACCATCACCCTATAGGTAATCACTTTTTTCCTCCTTTGGGTAATTTTTCTAAGTTGCTTTATGCAAATACAAGCAAACAGGAATAGACTTTCTTTTCTCCTTTCTTACAGGAAACATAGCATGCTCTATTATATTCACCTTGCTCTTTTTTTTTTACAACAAAGCATCCTACAAGTCATTACATATTATTAAAAAAGAAAACTATCTTTTTTTCAGTATCACTACATCATATTCTGCTGTGCGGATACACCATAATTTATTTAACTAGTTCCCTTTGGGGTTGTCATTGAGGTCTTTTTTCCTTCCATTTTTTCTTAGTAATATAACAAAGGCTACACAAATAACATTGTTACATGAACAGCCGTGTATTTTCTGACGTGCACATATTTATTTGTAGGATAACTTCCCATAAGAAGGACTGTTGTTTCAGAGAGTAATTGCATTATAATTTTATTAGACAGTGCCTAGCTCCCCTCTGTAGAGACGGTACTGCTTTGCACCACCAGCAACAATGCATGAGAGTGCTTGCTATTACTTCGATTCTTATCATCAAACACAGACATGTAACTTCTAGGGATAATGGCTTCTATGAGCTTACTCTGCAGCACTCAAGGTAGTCCTATTTCTATAGAAGTCAGTAAGTACAGGGCATGGAATTGATGAGGATGACATCTGCCTACTGTTCAGAAGCTTTACCCAGGATCACAACTTCAGAAGGATGTATGAGGAAGCCCCTTCGACATGCTTTTGTTGAAGCCCATCCTCATATTGGAATTTAAACCTTCTGTCTACTAGATATGTATCAGCACTGATAGGGGCCCTCCTGTGACTAACACAGTAATGCTGGCTTCATTCAGAGATGGCACGACCTGCTTGGGACAGGGCAAGGTAGGTAAGTGGCATGGGCTTTGAAATGACACCTGCCTGGATTCAATCCACAAATACCCTGCCTCCCTAGGGTGTGACTCAGGGTATGTCATTCAGCAGAACTGAGACCTTTAAAATTGGGAACTAACTCCCAAGCCTTTTTGGACTATTGTAAGATTAAAAGGAATAATGTTTGAGGGAGCATTTAATACATAATAGCTTTCAAGACTTTTCCCTTTTGCCTTTCTGAAAAGAGCAAAGATCTGGAAAGAAAAACCCTAAAGGCTCCTAAACAGCTAAAATTTGTCACAATTTCCATATGTGAAAGCTATCTTACTATACTAATAGAAGCTCAAAAATGTATTTAGTATTTTTTATATGTAATTGTAACAGGTTTTGTTATTTGGCTTCTTAGCCTATATAGGAGTAGAAGTACAATGGCCAAAGTTGTTAACTGACTCAACTATAGCAAGCAGAGATTTAAAAAAATGGTTAAGAAAAAACCTACCACCACCGACAAAGGTGGTGGGCTTCTAGATAGTCAGAACTCTTAGCATAGGGTGCCTCAAGATCAAGTGGTCAAGAAAAGGTTAACTGGGGATAGGGGTATGGCTCAGTGGTAGAGCGCATGTACCCAAGGTCCTGGGTTCAATCCCCAGAACCTAAATAAATAAAATGTTGACTATCTACCTTTGTGCAGAAAGCAGGTGGGGGTGATGAATTTACTTATATTACTCCCCACCCCATTTAGCTAATGTTTTGAAGTATCTATGTAATACATTAATGGGTTTATTAAGATTCATATCATAAAATATAAAATACTTTTTTTGGCATTTGAAAGGTTAAATCTCAGTTATTCAAAAAATTAATCAGTTATCCAATTTTTATTGAGTGTCCACTATGTGTTCAACACTGTGCTAAGTGCTAGGCTTACTTGGAACACTTAATTGCCCCAAAACTCTAGGGAAAAAATGTGATTCATAGCAGACCAAATTTATGTTAACCTTTCCACGAGTCTTCATGATGGCTTTATTGTCAATGTAACTGATTTTAATTCTAGAACTTTCTGGGTTTCACAATATGTCCTCTTTCCATGGAAGATAAAATTGTTAAACATGTAAATATAATGTTGAAATCACTTGGTGTTCTGTGAATCTTATATATCTACTCAAAACTTCAATTGTGATAAACACTTTTGACTCATAATCTCATGTGTCAGCTTTATATAGTGAGTGTAATTTACTTAGCTAATTTCACTAGATTATGTTCTTTCAGAGCACAGAGAAATAGGAATCATAAATATGCCATTACTGGCTGCTTTTGTTTCTCATTTCATAGCCTCACAGCTTAAAGAGAGGAAAACATATTTAAAAGCACAATTAGCTTCACCTATTTCCTAGTAGTATTTCAAAATGCTTTCTTTTATTAGAGATACCAAATCTACTAAGAAATTTAAGTAGATATATGTTGGCATTATGCAAGCATAATAATAATAACAAGAGCAATTAGTTTATTTAGTGCCTACTACCTATCAGGTATCATATTGAGAGCTATGAATGAATGGATTGCCACCCAGCAAAAAAAAATTTTTTTTGGACCAGGGATTGATCAGGAGTACTTGTCCACTGAACCACATCCCAAGCCCTTACCCAGCAAATATTTAAAGAAAGTACTGTTGTTCCCATGATAAAAAGGAGAAAACCAAGGTTTCACGAGGTTATCTTGCTCACAGCATTCATTGTTATCATTTTAGTGGAACTGGAGTCCAAACTTGATAATTTGTACTCTACCACACTTATGCCATTTTTCTTCCAAATTCAGAAAAGAAATAGAATCCCATCTGTATGCAGAAATTCTCTTGACCTGTCAGTTCTTGGTTTTACAACCATAGAAATAAGGAAATTAAACCATAGCAGGAAATAAGGATACAGTTATGTGATGTGATTCTCAAAGTAGCTTTTGGAATCACTCCCCCCAACCCTCAAAACCAGGGGGTAAAAATTCTCTAAGCATTTTCTCAAAGTCTTTATAGATTTTATCTTGGCATATATACTCATGAAAAGTTGAGTCTAAAATGCCTTGACACTCTCAAAACTTAAGTAGATACGCTCATGTTAAATATCATGTACATCAAAGTAACTATTAAAGTTGTCAAAGGCAACTTTCCTTCTCCAAATCTCAATGCCATACAAATATGATATACTTGGTCCTCTTAACAGTCTAAAGAAAGTTATTAATACTATTAAATTTTACTGAAAGGAGAAATAGAATCAGAAAAACGTGTTAAAAAATCTAGGGAGATGGATAAGAAAATCCAGGCATTTTCTTTCTTTTTTATTTTTTAATTTAACTTCAAATGCTCATTTCACCTACTTAGTAACAACCACAAATGTGTAGCTTGCCTGTCTAGCTGAAAATATAGTTTCACTGGAAGATCATTGTAATTCAAATCCATTCAGTGCTGCTTCACTTATGTAATTTGTTAGCTAAGTTCAAGTAGTGTACCTGCACCTATCTTAATGATATAGCACATTAATAACATTTTCACTCATTTAAAGCCATGTTTACCAACATAGCCTTAGCACCAAAAAAAAAAAAAAAAAAAAAAAAAAAAATCCAAATGACAATATTCACACATTCAAGTAGTCTGAACAAGTAATTGATACATACAGGTTAAGTTCTGGCTAGTTTTGAATTTTCCAAATTAAGGTCAGAGAATTTTCAAGCCACACACTTAAAAAAAAAAAGTTGACAGAGAAATATATTTTGGTATTGCAAAAAATATACTCAAGGTCACAATATGCCCATTATGTCCTTACTCCAACATGCAAGACACAACCAGGCTGATTTCTACCTGGATTTTGCCTGGAGCTTTCTTAAGGGAATGGTGGAAACTTTATTACAAAAGATAATGAAGTTGTCAGTGACAAGACAATCAGGGGGTCAACAGAGGTAAAAGGGGAGGAGAGATGTCTAAATAGAAGTGAGAATGAGTAAGTTTTTGTGGGAGTCAGTTAAACTGAGTTATGTACCTTTTAGAGCCCCTCAAAATAAGAAAGGAGTAAGTGTGCAATGTAAAAGAAAAAGGAAAAGAGCCAGAGAGGTGAGACACAGCCATTTTGGTGTGGGGGGTGTCTAACTACACAATGAGGTCATCCTATCTCCCGGAAGTGACACGTAATCACCTGCTTTGCACTGGCTCCGCCCCTTCCCTCAGAGGCCCCGCCCCTTCTCCAGCAGCCGGGAGGGTGTTAGGGGGCGTTTCTCCAGGAGGAAAGCTGTGAGCTGCGACGCTGAGGAAGGGGACCCCAAAACGTCTGGCACTGCCCCCTCCAGGGATCACTTTGGACCGCCTCACTCGGCCCAGCGGGATTCTGAAACGCCGAGGGGTCAACCTGATGGGTTTCGGGGTCAACGGAAGAGGGGAAGGGGAGCCCTGGCGGGGAGAACCCCCCGGCCCCCCGCCCCGCAGCTGAGGCACTGAAGGGCGGCCATCTTGGCCGGGAGGGTAGGGCCGGGGAGCTGCGGGCGCCGTGCGATTGGGGGGCTCGCCCGGAAGTGACGCCAACCACCCGGAAGCGGAGGGGGTTCCCTGGCCCACTCCCCCCTCGTTCGTTTGCTCCCCCGCTTCCTCCCCGCCCCCCTTCCTCTCCATTCGTTTCCCCCCCTCCCCGGTCCCTGCCTTCTCCCCCCACCCGTCCCTCCCCCCCAACCTCCGGAGCTGGGAAGAGAGTCAAGATGGCGGCGAAATCCGATGGCGGTGGCGTGGGGGTGGGCTTCGCCCAGCTGCACAACCTGGACGAGGCGGTGGGCAGCGGCGGCGAGGAGGACGGGGAGCCCGGGGGAGGCGGCTGCGGCGGCGGCGGCGACGGCAGCGAGCCCGGCGAGAGCAGCTCGCTGCACATCTGCCACTGCTGCAACACCTCCTCGTGCTACTGGGGCTGCCGCTCCGCCTGCCTGCGCTCCCTCCTGGGCAAGAAGCCGCGCCGCAGCGCCGCCGCCGCCGACGGGGGGGACCAGCCGCTGCAGCCACCCGCGGCCGCCGGCGCCGACCGCCACCCCCCGACGCCCTCGGCCGCGCGTCCGCAGCCGCCGCAGGTGGAGCGGCCGTGGCTCGACTGCCTGTGGATCGTGCTGGCGCTGCTGGTCTTCTTCGGGGACGTGGGCACCGACCTGTGGCTGGCTCTCGACTACTACCGCAAGGGGGACTACGGTTACTTTGGGCTGACCCTCTTCTTCGTGCTGGTGCCGTCGCTGCTGGTGCAGAGCCTGAGCTTCCGCTGGTTCGTGCAGGACTACACGGGCGGCGGGCTGGGCGCCGTGGAGGGGCTCAGCAGCCGGGGCCCCCCCATGATGGGGGCCGGCTACGGCCACGGCGCGGCCCGTGGCGGCCCGGGCGCGGGGGGCTCGGCCACGCCGGGGGCGCAGCGCCTGTGCCGCCTCTCCGTGTGGATCTGGCAGTCGGTCATCCACCTGCTGCAGATGGGGCAGGTGTGGAGGTAAGCTCTGCGGGCGTGGGGGCGGGGGCCGGCGGCGGGCACTCGGACGGGCCGGGGCGGGAGGATGGGTGGCCGCGCACTCCCCGGGCGCCTCGGGACCGTGGTTCGATCCGGATCCTGGCCACGCCTTTTGGCCCAGGGATGCCCAGGTCCCTCTGTCTGCCTGTCTTCATCCCTGGTTCGCACTTGGCGGAGACCCTGCCTCAGCCCTCCCTCCCCTCCTCCTCTGCAGACCTCTGTCTCCTGGTTGTCCCTTTGCACTATATCCCAAGGTAATCAGCCACTGGCGCTCTCTGTCGGCACCCCAACTCGCGTCCTGGTGGTGGGGTCGGGGGTACCTGGTTTTCCCCAGCCGATTTGCACTCGGTTTGCCCCTTGATGAGACATGTCTCCTCTTACCCCGTTTTCTCTCTGCAGTGGCCAGTGTGGGGCCCTGTAGAAAACCCTTGCTGCTTTTCCTTTTAGAACTCCATTCCACGCTCTCTTCTCCCGCAGTCCCAGCCCCTGTGAATGACTCCAAACCGCTGCCCTCCTTGAAGGAAAAATGACTTTTTTTTTTTTCTGGGTTAGACGTGCCCTTTTCTTAGTGACAGGTAAAAAATTGGATGTGTGTGATGGCAGCAAGCGTTTGCTATTAATTCTCACCTCTAGAAATTCAGCTACCCTGGACACATCTTCTCTTTTGGGTGGCCAAGCCAGTGTGTAAGTGATTACTGTTTACACAAGACTCAAGCTCGGCTTTGCGGCCCTTGACTCTTAATCTGAATTCTCCATGTGCCAGGTGAATCCCTCAAAACCCACTTGCAGGTGCTCTTTCTCCCTGGAGCCTTATCTGATTACCTTAGTGGCTACACCGAGGAAAGAATCCCACTGAAACCTTAGTCTGTGCCCTCCAACTTCACATGAGCTTGTGTGTACATTCAGGAAACGAATTTTAGGTGAGAGTGTTTGCAAGAGGAAAAAAATCTTACAGAAGACAAATTACATAGGGAAAGGCCCTTCGTGTATGTGCTTCTGTGAGAAGGCCTAGACTGCCTCAGCTCCTATATGCCCAGTAGATTGTAGGCCTCAGCATTTCAGGTACCTGAGGTATACTCAGCTTAACACTGAGAAGGTTCATTGGCTTTTGGCTGGTTTGTTCAGATATAGTTCTGAATCTTAAATAAAAATGTTTCAGAAAGCATGGGATTGAATTAAGTCAAAACATGAGAATGAATGCAAGAACTTTGTCTTACACATTTTATATGCAAATTCAGGATTAGGGAAATGAGGGTGGTTCTTGATATTCTTGGTCTTCCCACAGTTGTTTACTCGAGTTCTTGGTTGAACCAAGATCCATTTTTCTAACTGCATTTGTCTGCAGATAATTTTTGTTTCCTGTGAAGTTTATAAGAATAGGGGAATAAAATAGAAAAACATGATGATTAACTTTTAGCTGCTGTGAGCATAGCTTGAAGTTAAATGAAAATTTGAATTTGATATTTAACCCCCCCCCCCCAACTTTATTCTGAATCAAAGATTGTGTATGCTATTGATACCTTTTTTCAGTTTCTTGGAGGCTGGTAAGATTCAAACAGTGAATGGGGAGAGAGACAAAAAGTATAGGAAAGGGAGAGACTTTCAAGTACTAGTTGAGTTGAACAACATATATTAATAACTAGGCTTCTACTCAGGTCACCTGTCTCCATGGCTTAGACTTCTTATGAATATGAATGGACAATATGAATGTTGATGTTAGGTTAAAATTCCTGAGAGAATAATTTCTAATGTAACCCATTGCGTTTATTAGCAGTAAGCTTTTGGAACATAATGAAGTGGTAGTTCCCCTCCCCTATTCAGCTGAATCTTAATTGTATTTTGGCAAAATAGAAGTCTAGATTTTTGGGACAAACAGAAAAGTATGTTTTAGGTGTAAATTTAGCTTTTGAATTTGTTTAAATGGCTTGGTTTATTTTCTTATTTTTCTGATCTTCACTTAACTTTGAAGGTCTGCAATGAAATTTGAGTGTGTGTGTGGTGCCTGTGATTTTAGTATGTGTAATTTTTTAAAGATTCAAGTATAGCTCTAAATATCCATAGGGTTAAGGTGTTGAAGGATATGCTAGTTCAGCCATGCTGTTTCATCCAGCATAGCTGTATTTCAAAAGAATTTTATTTTTTCAGTAGGCTGATTTTGTTGGAAACGCTCCAGGAGCAAGGTCTGCTCCTTAATACCTGCTAGGCATGTTGCTTGCACCGAAATCATTCATAGGTAAGAGGTTGGGAGAAAGGTTTTTATTCTTTTCTTGTTTTCATCTCTTGGCAAACAGTTGCTTGTCTTTGTGTGTAAACACACATCACCTCAGTTTTTACAGTAGATCTTCTGGGGTTGTAGGTTCCTTAATCATATTTGTGATTTAAATTGCTATTTCATAAGGTCACATGACATAAAGGTAAAGGTCCAGGAATTCTATCATTTGATTTGGGCTACATTGCTAAGAAAATATGTCAGTGAAGTTGTACATTGTCAAAACTGATTCTGTTAAACCATGAATAAACTGTCTCTTCATATAATTTTTCTTTCCCTTTCTAAGCTCTAAAATTATTTCAGTCTTGTTTGGACAGAGCACATTGCCTATTTAAGAACATTTAGTCACTCCTGGTATTGAAGAATACACTTCTTTGCATGTTGTCTTATAATGATGGTATATACTTGACATTTCTTTTGCCAAGTGATTTTACAGAATGTAAGAAAGTATTTTGATGGGGTGAGAATTGGAGCATGGAAGAATAGTTGTGTGTAATGATTTGGTATCATGAGCCTGTTTCTGTGAGCACTGGTGTGTGGACAAGGTCTGTATAATGCATGCTTTACTAGCACTAGTTACTAAACATGTAACTTACTGTGTGGCTTTGTGTGCTCTACTTTTCAGGTGATTTTCCTAGCGATAATGGGCATGTGAGTCACTCTGAACAGAAATCTGAGTCACTCCAGGCTGTACTTCAGTACAGTGTGTTGTCATTATTAGAAAGTGAGATCGTATTCATGGAGGGTTTGAGGCTAGGAACAGTGATTGAGTTTGCGTCTTGCTTGTCATATGTAAGTTACTCTTGGCTGTTGCTGTTGTCCTTTCTGTGCCTTTGTGTCACCTTTGTGCTTAATGTAGTGGCTGTTCTCTCTGTCAGGGAGCAACAGTTCTTCACCAAATCATTAATCTTACTTAGAGTTGTGTGCTTGCATTCTTCTCCTTGATAGAGTAGAATAAGATGTACTTAATTCTTTATAGTGGTGCCTATTTCTAAAGTGAGGGTCAGCTGTTCTTTATCTTGGGAGATGGGGTGGGCTATAGGGTGGCTTTTAAGGAAGAAAAAAGAAAAAGGCATTTTACATTTTATTACGGCACCTGAACACTCTAAATCTTTAAAACAAAACACTCTAAAACAGAGTGTTTTTCTGTGTTGAAACTAGGTATAATCAGAACACAGCTCTATAGTCAGTGCTGGATGTGACTGGGCTGCTGCAGATTTTTTTTTTCCTTAATTATTCTGTCCCTATCTCATCCCTGTAAGTAGGGAGCATCTAGTGTATTTTGGGTCTTTATTCATGTTGGATATTTTAGAATAGTGGTTCTCATTTCTGGCTGAGACTAGAACCTACTGCAGCTTTTAAAGAAATAGAAGTGCCTGGGCACTGGACCTTCCAGAGAAGATTCCCACCACAAAATGCAAACATCATAGCTTCCAAAATTCCACAGCTGATCAGTCGGGCAGCCAGGCTTGAGAAGCATATTGAATTGGGTTTCAAGCTTATTCCATTTGGGGATGGGTATTGGATTTGTGTTCTTAATAAAATATGGTGGAACAACTGGGAGAGGAGTGACTTTTTACTCTGGAGTTTGGTCCCCAGACAGTGCCATAGCTAAATGCCTTTACCTTGGAAACTGAGTGTCTGGAAGTTTCTTGGGGCTATCTTAAGGGTTTGCACTTAGGTATTTCAGAGTTTCTGTTTAAGTCCAAATATGAATCTCATCCTAAAAAGATTCCTAAATTTGAAGTGGTCTGCAAACAAAATGTAGGCCATTTCTTTGCCTTTTGTGTAATAAAAATAATACTTTTATGATGCTATTGCATGTAAAAGGTATAATAATTCTGTTGAATTTTGAAATGATTCCTTTGATAGGTTTGAGGAAAACATAACTGGGATTACAAGCAGTGTTGGGATAAGTGATTAGTAATGTTCTTGTAGTTCTTAAGATTTTGTGATTAAAGAATGGAAATGCTACATTACAGAAAAGGACATTTCATTTGTCTGGAGCCAGGGTACCAGTCATAGTTACATTAGAAGGTTTTTTTTGTGGGTGGGGGGTGGGTGTAGGAAGCTTTATATATCTGCTTATTACTGGGTAGGAATCTCAGTATTGTAAAATAGTATTTTTAAAATTTTATCTATAAACTTAATGGGATGTAGGGTTAAGAAGATATTGAGCTTTTTTTTGTGGTGCTGGGGAGTGAACCCAGGGCCTTGTACATGCTAGGCATGTGCTCTACTTCTAATCTACACTTCTGCCCCCTCAGGGAGATTTGTTTGATAAACTTGAGAAAATTGATCTGAGAACTGTAAATAAACAAGTAGTCCAAAAACAAAAACAAAAAAAGAGGAAATTGTCTTACCCTATCAGAAAGTAGATTTGTTGTATCAACAATTAGACCAATGTGCTGCTGGCAGGGAAATTAAATAGGTAGTGACAGAGAATAAAGAGTCCAGGAATAAATTGATAGCATTTGTGAGAATTAAGTACATAGTAAAGGTGACATTTGCAGTCAGTGTAGGGAAAAAGAATTATTTATCAATGTGGGCAAGAGAGTGCTTGCCCAGCATATGTGAGTTCCTGGGTTCCATCCCCAGCACTGCAAAAAAAACAAATAAATATTTGAAAATAATTAAAGATGAAATATAAAATGTTAAGCTGTAAAAAAACACTAGAAGAAAATTTAGGATGATACTTAATCTTTTCATGAAT